GGAGAAATATGTAGTTCCTCCAAGTGGAATGAAGGAGTTGTGAGAGCGGCAACAGGGCGTATGGAATGATATTCCCCGGAAATGATACGATGGTACACCCAAAATAAGCCCAGACGCATAGAAGATCTAAAAAAGACAAAGGGGATGTGAACTCACTATTAAAAAATCATTAATAAAAATTTTTCTTAAAAAAATAACCAGAGTGCAAAACTGTAACATTTGACTTTTTTTACAGTTTGGCGCGTCATTTTCTTTAACTGATATCAAATGGTTTTGAATTTAACTTAATAGTAGTAAATGATATAACCTACAAAACCAGACTAAGATCTTCAAAATCCGTGCATTAGAAAAAAAGTTACAGACCTTTGAAGTTGAAACAATGAAATCGTGTTACAGTTTTGCTCGTCAGTGTATATTTCCTTTTGCAGTACATGTTGTGCCAATGGATATCTCACACTTTCATCCTGAGCTAGTTGATGCATAATCCTGATGGCCGTATATGGAGCCGACGCAGTTCCAAAGGTCACTGTAGTTAAACAATATTCCTGAATTTGATCCTGTTCGTTTCGCCAAAAGATCCGTTGAAACTGGGCATCATCCGGGTGCATGTCTATGCATCGGTACATTTTTTGGATATCTGCCGCAAAAACATATCGATGCATGCGCCAGTTTAGTATGACTCCCCCAAGATCATTCTGCAATGCGGGGCCTGTACAAAGGACATCGTTGAGAGAACGGCCATTGGAAATTTTGCAAGACGCATCATAGACCACGCGTAATTTGGTGGTGGTACTCTCATCCTTTAGTACAGCGTGATGAGGCAGAGTGCATGCCGCAAAACCGACCTGACCCAATGGCGTGTGAGTCCGATGTTGCTCCTCAGTGCTTGCAGCTTCGATGATCTGGTTGAGATCAAAATACTCTTGGATGACGGCTGAATATTGCTGATGTAACGCTGGTTGTTTTTGAAACTCGCGCTCCAACATATGGAAGCGATTAAGGGCTATTTGCCGAGATTTCCCAAGAACTTGCGAGGAATCGAACTGCGTCTTGAATGGGAGCCGAACCATATATTTCCCATTGGGTTGACGTGTATGCGTTTGAAATGATCCTCGCACCATTGTTCTTCTGCTGTCAACTGTCGAGTTTCGGGAATTTTCTCTAGTTCAAAAAACTTATTGACCAAAGCCTCCAAATTTGTCTGATGGCATCGAATGGATATGGCATGCGAAAGTATTTGGTTTGTCTTACCAAATACAATCCAACCCAGTTGCGTGCGCTGAGCTATTGGTTGATCCTGAGCTCCCTTCCGAACTTCAGACAGCATGAGCTGAGGTATGACATCCACGCCAATCAGCAAGTCGATTCGACCGGATCGCGTAAAGGTAGGATCTGCCAATTCGAGTCCTTGGATATGCGACCAGTTTTGCAGGTGAATATTCATCCTTGGCAGAGGCGATGTTAAAGAGCGAAGCACAAATGCCGTATCCACTGATATTTGGAACTGAGGGTGTATACATGAGCTTAATGTAAACCCCGTGCGATGCTTACACTTATTTGTTGAGTTTTCGCCAACTCCCGTGATTTCAGCAGCAACAGGGAATCGCTTTAGTCCAAGGGCTTGGACGACATTTTCCGTAACAAGAGTTCCCTCGGAGCCGTGATCAATTAAAGCGCGTACTATCATAGACTGACCAGTGATGTTGCTGTGCAATCGAACCAGTGCCGTCGCTAGAATCACTGTGGGTGACTTATACGAGGCCATTGCACTCACGAGCTGAGTTGTGTTGGCTTGAATTGAGCTTGCCGATGAGGATGAATCCCTCGTTGACTGATGCTGTGGAGCATTAGATCTAGCATCATTAGGCTGACTAGGAAAATGTAAAAGAGTGTGGTGCCGTTGACCACACTGAGAACAATTCTTTGTACTACTGCACTGAGACCAATTATGTGAAGGGCTTAAACAATTCAGACAAACCTTGGTGTTTTCCGCTATCAGTTTTCGCGCAAAACAATCTTTAGACAAGAACTCTGGACAACGCCTTAAAATGTGGTTGCCACTACAATGAGTGCAACGCATTGCGGAATTGGTACCGCTCGTGGTATGGTAGCTGCCGCGTTTATGTATGTTATTGTTGTTAGAGTTGTTCGGAAGCTTGTATGACGGTTTATGCGGTGTATTTTGGACCGATGTGGGTTTTGCTGATGGGTTCCCTTTGCGACTTTCTATCATTTCGATGCTGACAAGGCGATTGTTTAGAAAATTTTCGAACATCGAAAAGGTTGGAATTTCTCCTGAGCTGCCTAGGTGATGCTCCCAGGCTTGGAGAGTAGTTGATGGGAGTTTCATCGCGAGATGATGCACTATCCAATGGTCACAAGTTGAGATTGCGATTTTGAGACGCTTGAATTCGTTTATACACACATTGGTGACGTTGAGTAGGTGCTTGAATTCCGTTGAACATTCCTTGACGATGACAGGCAAGTCGTATAGGGCATTCATATGGTGCATGAATAACAACCTTGGGTTATTGTACCTCCTAACGATGAGATTCCAGGCCACTGCATAGTTTGCTTCCGTAAAATCCATTTGCTGGACATCCTGATCGCAATCACCTGGCAAAGCTTGCTTAAGAAAATGGAATTTTTGAATGCTAGAAAGTGCCGTATTCTCGTTTATAAGCTGTGAAAATACATCAAAAAATGCTGGCCAATCTGTATGTTTGCCAGAAAAAGTGGGAACCGGTAATTTAGGGAGCTGAACTGAGGACACTGCTGTAGAAACCACCGTAGAATTATGGCTCGGAGCTCCAACTGTTGTATCAGTATTTGTTGTTGTCAGCAGGGCATCGTAGGCATCCAAAATAGCACAAAAAACCGTGGTATAACTTTGCTCAAACTTATCTTCAATTGCATTTTTAAAATACGCATGCGTACGCGGACATTTGGAAATAACAATCAATTGGTGATTTTTATTAAATTGTCTAGAAAGTTCTTCCAATTTATCGCGACGGAGTTGAAAATAAGCTTTGGTTTTTCGAGCTGCACTATCTTTTTTAAAATTCGTATGCAGCTGTGTTAATCGTGTAAGAATATCAAATTGAAGAGCACTGAGATCTTCATAACCCGCTCTCTCCAATGAGACTTCTAGTTCACTTTCGTTTTTCTCCATTTGACTCAAAAATAATTGCACTCAATCTATGACCAACATACAAGCATGCAAATAACAAAACACTCACCCTTTCTGTGCAAGAACACCTTGTGTTTCGCAGTCGTTAGCGTTTAACGTTTGTTGTTGTTGTCGTCCGCCAGGCAGAGTAGAGCGACAAAGGCGAAAGCAAGGCGGTGATTTGCTTATCACTGCAGCTGCGCTTCCAGCGGTCCAGCGAAGTGACGTGGGCGTATGTGGTCGTTGCACTCGGCCGATCATCCAACGAGGCAAATGTTGAAAGAGAGACGCCGATATTTAGCGAATCACTTCAGCTGCGCTTCTAGCGGTCCAGCGACGTGACGTAAATATGTACAGGTATGTGGCCGTTGCACTCGGCCGATCATACGAAAGCGCAAAGTATAGAAAGAGACGCCGGTAACTTAAGAACGGCGTCTATGTACCAATTAGGTTTGGTATTTGGCTGACTCTTTTTGGGTGCGTGCTGGCTCTAAACTTTTAGAATTTTATGAACACACAAAGAACCACTTTTGCCAATTTATGGGCAGATAACTGTTGAAAATTAATTTCAAATGTAATCACGAAGTTATGATCAAATGGTTCCCCTCATGGGCCACCAAAAAATGTTGTGACAAATGCTAAGTTGTCAATGCTGAGCGTCTACCGCTCTGGGGACTTTCATTTGACAAGAGAAAAATAGGTACAACTGAAGTAACTTCAAGATTAATTTTATTTAACAAATTTCACTAGATCTCAAAACAAACTAATTTAATTACGAAGGTTAAGTTATATCAAAAGTTTAGGGTTCTTCAAGGTATAAAAATCAAAGACACAGGCCGACCAGCACCGAACACCGCTTGCCAAAGAGTGGTTTGTCGGATTTTGGCATTCGTCTTTTGTGCTGCTGGGACGTCTCGAGAGCGTAGAAAACTGCATTAAGCACACTCCTTGTTTCCTACGAAATACTCTTAATAGATGCTCGAACATTTTTATTGTTTCAAATTTACTATCATCTGGCAATATTCCTTTATTTGTACATTTATGGCCTAAAAATGCTACTTCATGTTAAAAAAATATGCATTTTTCTGGGTGTAGTTTTAAGTTATACCGTCGGCATGTTTTAAAAACGTCTTCTAGATTATCAAGCATGTGTTTTTCTGAGCACCCTGTAACTATTAGATCGTCCATATAAAGAAACGCTCTGCAAATGCTAACGTCATCATTCTTTGGAATGAGTTTGGGGCTATTTTTAATTGACATTTAAAAAAAGTTTTGCACTGTCCCTTGATAAACGGTACATTCTCTTTTATCAGTTTATTAAGCATATTTTTCAACAAAAAGCACAGTTCAGTCACTAATTAATTAATTAAATTAATGATAATTTAGTATTTTATCAAAATATGGAATTTTAAACTAAATTGAATAAGCCAATCTGAACATTTCAAAGTAAAAAAAAATTTAAAAACTTGAACACTTAAAAAATTTTATTTGTAAGTTAACAGCCAAAACAATAAAACCAATAAAATAAAAAATAGGGTGAGCATGGATTGCGCAATAAAGGAAGTATCAAATTGCAATACCATGCCCTCAATAAGTTCGATAAGTTAAATAAGTTGACCTACAATAGTGAATGACATCAGCAATATCGGAAGCAGCCACCAATGGTAACAAAGAACGTCAGCAGAAGCAGCGACAACGGCAGATACGGTGGAAGCGATGGAGCGACGCGTAGGTGTAAATAATAATTGTTAACCTTAATCAAATCAGTTCTTAAACCAACTCAATAAAGTGAAGTTTGATTTTTTTTATGAAAAATAATAATTCTTTTGACTTTTATATTGAATAAAGAAGTTTTACCAATTTATTTTTAGTACTTATACTTAAATTCCATTCGAAACAAATACTGTATATTAACCTGAGCTATATCATATACTATATATTCATTGTATAATAACGATGACCTAAGGTTTTCACTGGTTACCGCTTCTCCAATTGGTATTTCGACACCGTCATTTCTTATGTAGCTATTGCTGGGATCTGGCATCGTCCGACCGTGACCAAAGCAACTATGCTTATCCTTTGGAAGTTTTGTAATATATTTTGCTGAAGTGCATTCCATCATATCTCCCAAAGCAACTTCAGAAAGAATCATTAAACCAGTTGAGTTTTGTTGACTAGTGCAACAATAATTAGCTGATTTCGACACCATATCCGCAAAATATATGCCTTTCCCAAACATATATCCTGTTGGTGGTGCTTCTGGGGGAGCGATTTTAAGACCATGCGATAGTATTCCAACGAAATTCGTCAGCCGAGATCCGTGCCATAACAGTTTTTTATTATGCAACTTCTTGAACGGTTTGTAACGCCTTGCTTCTCCTTGGCGAGCCACTTTAAACACATCTACAATCTCCAGTTCATACGAGCAATGTGTAGAAGCATGCGTATTCCTCACGTATTTGCTTAAAATTGAAAACTCTTCACTATCTTTATCAAGAGGATCTAATTGTGTTTTTAATAGTGCGTAATTTTTATCCAAAGGATTGGTATTATTAGTCTCATCTTGGGCTTTGATTAAGCTGTAGGCAACTTCAATCTCTGATAAAGAATCAAGCATTTGTCGAAGGTCTTCGATTTGTTTCTGAGTTTTAATAACAGTTGGAGATTGAACTCCAAAGTTATGGGGAATCAATGTATAAAACCTGTTTGTCGCGTCAATAAATTTATTATCACTGGATCCTACCTCTATTAAATTAAAAATTTCTGTCACGACTTTATAAGCAGATTGAATCTGATTTACACTTAGTTTTCCCAGTGGCATTTTTTCCATATCAATGTGAAACTCCAACAATGTTCTTTTCATAGAATCAACATCAAACATGAGACTTATTAAATTTTGTAGGGATTTCTCCAATTTAGAATCAACAGAATGGCAACTATTTTTAAACAACTTTGGGTCTTCATCATACTGAATTTGTATGGGGTACATTCGTCCAACAATTTTAACAAAAGTGTCTCGATTCTCAAAATTATTTCCTGTTTTGTCAGCATATACTTCATGAAATTTTATTTTGGCAGATTCACTCGAGTTAAATTCCTCAACCTTTGAGCTTCCAATACTTGTTCCGATTCGCCCCCATGAACGAAATATCCAGTACCTGCAATTAAAAGTACAAACAAGATTATTACAAATAAATATAAAGGTAAAATTGAGATAATTAATATAGTATTTAAAACAAGGAAAGGCATAAGCTTCGGTAAACTTAAAGTTAAAAAATAAAAAATTGGTTTCTGGTTAGCCTTACTTATAATGTCAAATGTATTATGATAAAGCATATTTTCTTTTTTAAAAAAGTATAAAACGAGGAGCAAGGAGCCTATTGTACAATAACCAAATGATCTCCCTATCAAATTTTTAAAATCACAGCATGTACTTACTAGAAGATAAAAAACACTGGCATTATACACTAGAGCAGTGGTTCCCAAACTCTTTTCTTTCATAGACCATTTTCAAAACTTTTCAAAATCAATTCTCACAAATTGTAATTAAACAAACGTCAAAACGAAGTGGCAAAAATATGTAGGTATTTCATTGTATCGTAGGTATTTATTCAAATATTGAAATTATTACAATATTAATTATTATTGTTATAACCAGGGCTAACAGAGTTATGTTTTTAAATGAAAAAATATTTATTTCCATATTTTCGGTTTTTTCCCTATAAATCCATATTTTACACAATCACTTGAATAAATCCATATTTTTAACATTAAAGTGTCTGAAAACCTATGAAAGATATGTTTGGCTCAAATATTATGAAATTTCTGTCGTTTGCCTTATACTAGATAATAAATAATGTAAACAAAACATCGTTGCGTCGTTAATCAATCAAAAAATGTATCATCGAATGTAACAATTAAGATGCAGTTTATATTTTAAGATTCAGTTTTTATTCCATATTTCATGCTTTTAGTTCTTATGTCTCTTAAATTCTAGTGTTGTAAAGTTATTGATTAATTCTATATCTCATTGATAGTTCTAAAGAAGGTGACGATCTTATCCTGAATTTATCACCTGCTGAACTGAATGCATATGCAAATGCTCCTGTAACATCTTGCGATGTTGAGCGTTCATTTTCATCATATAAACACATATTTTGTTTTTACTAATCTGACACAACATGTCATATTGTTCTGCAATGATCTTTCAGACAAACGGCGCACTTTTGTTTGTAGCGATTTCTAATTGTTCATTGTCATAAAAAGTTAATATGAGCGATATAATCGTCTACGTTTATCCATTTTTATACCTATATTTATCCCTTTTTTCATCTATACTACCTATATTTATCCATATTTATCCATTTTATTCCATATTTGTCAACTTTTTCGTCCCTATTTCGTCCATATTTCTCTATTTTTTCGTCCATAAATCCATACATATTTTTACGTTTTTAAGAACATAACTCTGTTAGCCCTGGTTATAACAGTCGTAACTTAATAAAAATTAAACACTTATAACGTAAAGTAACTTCTACAATAGTAATTACGAAAAATATATAATTTTAATCAGGGACCGTAATCATTATAAGTAATATTTTAAAAATTACTTTGTAATGATTACTTATCGATTTTTAATTTTTTAAATCAAGACTAATAATTATTTTTGAGCAAAAAAAACAAAAATCACAAATAATCATTAAGCTTGAGCAAAAAAAATAAAACTTAAAAATAATGATTATTCGTGATTTTTATTTTTTTCGCTCAAAATAAAACTCACCAAGCAACAGCTTTTGATCCTTTAAGGATATTGCCAATATTGTCCTATGTCCTTATAAAGGGACCCTACAACAACAATTGACAACAACAACAAAATGTGTTTTACCTGTGTTTGCTGCAATTATTTAATATAAGGTCAACTGTTACATACAGAGCAGCAGCAGCAGATATACACAATTACCAAAACAATGATAATAATGATAATGATAATGATAATGAATATTTTGAAAGTCGGTGAACATCAGAACTCAAAATCTACTGAACCGATCCTTTTCAAATTTTTAACACAAAGGCTCCACATAAATACTCAGGTAATCAGGAAGAGTTTTTTTTTAATTTTGAATTTAAACAACAAATTATTTATTTTTAAACAACAAATTAAAAGCGATTTTTTGAGCTAAAATCGCACTTTTCACCTTCAAGTGCTCCCAAAAATAGACAAAAAATAAATAAAAAAAAAAACTCCTGATTACCTCAGGCTTATTTTTTAATATTTTTTTTTTCTAATACTCTTCAAAAGTTAAACAATAACTATAATAATAACTATAATAAATAATAATTAAGCTCAATAAAATAAACTTACTCATTTTGACGCAAAAAAATTAAACATGGCCCTTTTTTTTGGCCTTTAAAACCTTACCCCTCCCTTAAACATTGCAATGTATGTTTTACATAAAACGGTTTAACTTAAAAAGTTTTTTTTACCTATTTTTTTATGAATTCTTTTTTCGATTCAATAGTATATAAAAAACTTGGTTTTCTACAAATCATGATCGTGGCATTAAAAACAACGACTTTATCTTATATTTCCAATCGGCTATCGTTTTTAACAAGTGCGTCAGAATTTTTTGATAAAGCACGTCATGGATCTTCCAATAAACCAAACTCAGCATTTTATACGACAGGAGTCGACTATTGTGGGCTATTCTATCATATCGCTAAGAGTGATCTAGCCGAGTTGAAGGAACTATTCTTAAGCGAACCACACATGGCTTCGATAGCTTCTTCGTGTCTAGCTGGTGGAATTGTTTGAAAGTACAAACCTCCGGGACCCCATACATAAGTGGTTTATAGGAGCAAGGTTCTGCCAAGTTTCACATCTACAGCCTTGTCGGTGCATTTTTGTTAGCCCTTTGTTCCAGTATCACAAGATTTCCTAAGCTGAACGTCTCTCATCTCCTCGAGGGACGTCTCAACAGATGGGTGACTCAGGTGCAGTAACGCTTTTTGAAGAGGTGAAATAGCAATTATTTGTCCATTCAACGGAAAGGAGCAAATGGAATGTAACATCAAGGTCCGACGCATAGTGTTAATGAAGAAGGACAACATTCCACCTTATACCCGGCGTGAGCGGCATTGTCAGAGTAGCTATTATCCTTACGGCTATGGGTATCATCAAAAGACCCGTCGCCAAATTATCAGATTTGCCTACCGATTCCAATGTACTTGGAACCGTTCCTCTTCCAGCGGGGGAACAATGTTTGGATCTTCGTATGTATGTATCTTGAAGACAATCTGCATTAGTGGCAAAAAAAACATTCAAATGCACAATGCTTAAATGAGTGAAATGAAAGCAAAGCCAATCTGGTGTAAGAGAGTTGGTTCTCTTACGCTTACTCATTTCCACAAATAATAGGAAAATGGAAACGAATTGAATAAATTGAGAACGTTGAAAACAGAAGCGTTTCATTCGAATGATTCGAGTTGCAAATGTAAATAAAACGAAATAAAAACAAATTAAATGCAGTGAATTTCCTTGGAGTCCGAAAAGGCTGCAGTTCTCAAAAAAGGAATGTACCGAAATCCTAAGCAACAAACTCGAATGATTCAAGTATATGTCGGGTTATGATTCTCCTTGTCCATGTCTTATTATAGTTTTTAGACGGTTGTAGATGGCGAATAGACTTGGGCGCACCACTGCCTGTTTTAGACTGTTCTAGAATCCCGAAAAACTGTGCCATCGCAAAATGTTGTAATGCACATACTGGCATCTCTGTCTCTCGCAGTGGCTCAAGCATACACGCACGACAATCGCCAAGTGGTTGAGCGCAGGGTTTGGAACCCGCCTCGTAAAAAAGAAGCCCAGTGAAGACCAAAGCGAAAGCCTCGGATAAGATCACCCATTATGTTGACGACCACCGCAAAATGAAAAAGGACTACGATTTGAGGATATGCACCTGGAACGTCAGAACCCTTAATTGGGAAGGTGCCTCTATCCAACTCGCGGATGCCCTCGATATTAAAGGCTGACATTACCGCCATCCAGGAAATGAGATGCATAGGACAAGGTTGCTCCAAGCGAGCAAACTGCGAACTGCCATGCGGAGAGGCGCGAATTTGGATGGATTTGGCCGGAGACTTCGCCACCACGTTTCCAAATTGACCCCAGTGAGTGAACGACTAGCTACAATCCGCGTCAAAGCTAGATTTTTAAATTTTAGCATAATTTGCGCGCACGCCCCGACGGAAGTGAAGGACGACACTGTTAAGGATGCATTCTACGCGAGACTCGAGGACACATACGACCGCTGCCCAGACCACGACGGGAAGATCATCCTCGGGGACTTCAACGCAAAGGTTGGGCGCGAACGCATCTTTGACCCCACCGTCGGTCGATTCAGCCTCCATAAGACTACCTCGAACAACGGTCTCAGGCTGATTGATTTAGCCGCGGCGCAAAACATGGTAGTGAGTAGCACCAGATTTCGGCACCTTGACATCCACAAGGCCACATGGCTGTCCACGATAAAAAAATGCGCAATCAGATTAATCACGCTGATATAAACGGAAGGCATGCCTCAAGCGTGATGGACGTGCGTACGTTTCGAGGAGTCAACATTTACTGGGACCACTATCTTGTCGTACTCAAGATACGCATGCGGCTATGCCGAGCGAAAAAACATAGGCCCAATCACGCAACGAAAGCCTACTTCACTCACCTCTCGGAACTTCTCCACCAATATATCCCTCTCTCTGTTGACGCCGGCGGACTCTGGGCGCACATATCCCACTTCATGCGAGCTTCGGCTGAGACAGCCATTGGGTTCCAGCGCCCACCCACACGGAACTTATGGTATGACGAGGAGTGTCGCGTCGCAGCTGCAGCAAAAAACGCCGCCCACAGAAAAACGCTGCAGTTTGGCGCAACGCGAGCTATGTGTGAACGTTAAAGGAAGAAAAAGGAAGGAAGAGCGGCTATTTTTAAGATGGAAAAACCGGTAGCAAGAAAGGCGATAGTGCGAGGAAATTGAGGTGTTGCAAGACAGGAATGATGTTCGAAAATTATACCAACAAGTCTGACCGGAGCATCTAATTACCGGGATGAAAATGGAAATCTGGTTACGGATATGCAGTGCACGCTGAGGTTATGGAGGGTGCATTTCTCTAAGCTCCTAGCAGCCGATGACGGCACCAATCCCGCGATTGGAGGAAGCAGCCGGTGCTGATGGACTGACTGCAAGCTGATAAGAGCTGATAAGGTGCATGCATAAGCTCTTGTGCAAAATATGGCTAGAAGAAAGCATTCCCAACGACTGGAATCTCAGCGTCCTTTGTCCTATGCTGAAGAAAGGTGACCCGACGATATGCGCCAACTACCGGGGAATCTGCATGACTCGAGCGTTATATGTGAACGACTGAAGCCGTATACCAGCACACTGATCGGACCTTATCAGTGCGGCTTCAGACCAGGTAAATCCACAATATATCAAATCTTCACATTACGCGAAATCCTGGAAAAAACTCACGAGAATAACATTGACACACACCATCTCTTTGTCGATTATAAAGCTGCATTCGATAGCCCAACGAGGGAACGCCTATATGCCACCATGTCTGAGTTCAGTATTCCTGCAAAGCTGATACGTCTTTGCATAATGACATTGACCAGCACCATCAGTTCTGTCAAGGTAGGAACGAACCTCTCCGAACCTTTTAAAACCGTTCGAGGTTTCAGACAAGGCGACCCCCTGTCGAGCGACCTCCTCAATTTCGTGATGGAAGGGGTTCTGCAGAAATCTGGTGTACATCGATCTGGGACTATTTTTTATAAAAGTGTCCAGCTCCGCAGCAAGCGTAATGTCACTGCTGCATTTTCCGCTGTCGAAAAAGAGTCGCCATAAGTAGGTTTGGCGGTAAACGAGGGCAAGACGAAGTAGATGCTGTCGACAAGCAGGGTGGCGCGGCGCTTGACTCCCATGTGGTAGCGGGTAGCTATACCTTCGAAGTGGAAGGAGTTCACGTACCTTGTCACTGCCATTAATACCGAAAATGACGTCAGCCTGGAGATCAAGCGAAGAATATCAAAATGTTGTACGTCGACGTGGATGTGGTCCGACGTATTACGATACAACGTCTGCGCTGGCTCAGCCACGTTGTGCGTATAGATGAAGAATCTCCAGCTCAGAAGGTATTTGAAGCGAGGGTCGACTACAGGCGACGACGAAGGGGACGACCAAAGCTCCGATGGAAGGACCAAGTGAAGGAGAACCTGACTGCATTGGATATGTCCGATTGGAGGGGGCGCGCGAAGAGCAGAGGCGCCTGGAGGGAGACGCTGAGGTCGGCCAAAACCATAATACATTACAATAAAGTAAAATAGATTTTGTACCGAAATTGCTAAACTTTGACCTCAAGAGCAGTTAGCAGTTGAATGACGCCAACCACATCAACATAACAAACCCTAGAGACTAGTTTACATAGAAACAGACAGGCGGACGGACCAACAGACAGATTTAATGTCTAGATCAGTTCAGACGGTGATGCTGATCAAAAATATATTTACTTTATGGCTCGGAGGAACCTTTTCCACAGCACTGCAAGCTTCTGGTTAAAATATAATTTCCTTTGCGAGAATATATGAAGTACTCTTCAATTTTAGCTTAAAACGCGAATCTTGCACTTTCAAATACTTATACTGTAGTTTTGGTAAAAAGAAAGCAGATATAAATTTAACACTCAATATGATAAGATTGATGTCTAATTTACTTACTATATTTTACTTACTTTTTCATTTTGTCTGCTTCCAAAAGCTGCAATTTGTAATAAGAATTTTTATTCCGCTGAATATCAGTCAAGCCAAGCACAATACTGTATTTGTTTCTATTCTCGACATATACATGGGCTATGTCCTCAAGCCCACTGTCCGGATCTACGGCCAGACCATCTTTTACCTTAAACGTCTTGGATATTGGCATAGACTTCGTATATATACTCTTTGATTTTAAGCTTTTTGTTGTTTCTTGTGTAACTCTTGTTGTTGGATCAGTTCCCCAATCGCAAATACTCATGCTGCTTATATAATTTATAGCTCCGTCGCCGTCACACTCCACAAAATCCAAATATTCAATGGGTACAATATGAATACCAAGCCTCTTTGCTGTCTCCATACGACGAGATTTTTTTTCTACTTCTTGTTCTGTGGATATTATTGCTATAGTTTTTTCAGATATGGCAGATTCACAATTTCCGCCCAATTTTTCAACTCGCTTTTTTAATATTTTTTCCTGGTCTTTCAACCCTATAATTGAAAATTTAAGATTGTATAACGGCGGTTTTTTACGAGTAATCTTTGGACTGAAAACAAAAACAAGATAAATAATATATTATTTTTTATATATACAAATTATTTTAACAGAAAACATTTTAATATCTGAACTTTTATAAGATTATAAGTTTCTAGTTGTAAAAATGTTTTTTTTTTTTTTATGCAAGGTAGTACAATACAGTCTATTTAAAAAAACCACCGGTAGCCGGCAGAAGTGAAAACTTCAATATTAGCGTTGTGTTTAATTATAAGTATATAAGTATGTAGGGTAAGATGGGGTAAAACCGCCGGTGGGTAAAACCGCCATTTGGATTTCAAATTCAAATGAAGCGCCGAAACGATTAACCGTTGATAATGTAGATTCTGATTGATAACACTGTGCGACAAAAAAATGTTTAAGTTGATTTTTTTCTTATTTTTCACTTCTACTAATCAAAATAAGAATATAAGTTTGTGGATTTGTTAATATCAATAGCCGATCAGCTTTTAAGCACACTCAAATGTCCCAAAAACGTGTTTTTTTTTGCATATTTCACAGCCTTATAATCACATATTGGGAAAATATTTTTTCACTGTTATAAGCGTTTAGCAAGTTCAATATCTATTAATTAAAATTTATTAAGCAAATATACCGTTAGGCTTTTATCACAATGCTTTAAAATACGACTACGTATGGAACTTGTAACGCGAGGATACCTCTAAAAAAGCCAAAAAAATCAGGAAAAAAATTCACTTTTAAAAAAAATAATAGTTTATTGAAAGTAAAAAAAAAAGTAATATTTTGTGTTAATTATTTTCATAACAATAATTTCATAAAATTTACCATGAAAAAAGAAATCGTATCACCTAAAAGGTGGCATAAATATTTTTGTGCATAATTTATGCACCTTAACCGAAAACAATCAAAAAAGTAACTTAAACAAAGATTTTGTTAAATTTTGTCGCACAGTGTAATGCGCGGTTTTTGAAGTAGGTCGGAATACTGCAGCTTTATCGTGACAATTTCTATTGCGCCATTTTTGTTTCACTCGACGGCAGCAAAAAATTTTTGTTATCAACATTGCTCAATCAAGTGTAAATGAACGGCTTGAAAAAAAAGAGGTAAGTGTCCGCTTATAGTACGAACCTTGATACTGATGTACATACATGTATCAAGTTAGCCAATATTTCCAAAATTGTACAAACTAAGTAACCTCGACAAAAAATTGGCGCGTGGGGTAAAAACGCCGCGAAAAGGTATTGCTCAGAAGTTTTAATTTTTTAAACTCTATAATATTTTACTTTTCTATAATATTGAAGCCGACACTTTGGAAATTCACTAGGCATTTAATAATTGTGAAATTGATCATTGAAATTGTTAAATAAAAAGTTTTTGCAACATTTCAATGGATACAGTTTTTAATTAAAAAACTTCTGAATCCACATGTTGGAAATTTTGAAATTGAAGATTTTCTTCTATTAGGTATCAATATCTAAGATTTCAATATTTTATGATAATAATCTACTTGTTATTGACATTATTTGGGTACTTAACTACACTGAAACCAGAATGGTTTTTTTTTTTTTAAACCGTTTTAAACTTTTCTTCTGAACGATTACAATTGTTTTAAAATAAAAGCTACATAAAAACTTTCTAAATGAATTATGTAGCCAAGGGATTAAACTTTCAGAAATATGGGTTGGATCATTGATCATTTTATAAATGATAGCTTGACATCGTCAAATATACATTTTTGGCGGTTTTACCCCATCTTACCCTACTATCATTTATGAGAGAGGTAGAATACAATGTTTATTTATTGCGCTATCGTACACAAATATGGCAATTTATATGTTGTTATTTATAATATTATATCGTTATTTAGGGGAATGTTGTCAGGGTTGGGCCATTGTCAGAGTTGGGCCATCTCAATATTTCGAATATTCGTTCTAGTACCTTCTGTTTGTGGGTGTCTAGAAACTTCTATCGGTCACTCGAAACTTTCCACGTGACTACTTATTTCGGGATTTCATTTTTCTACGTGTCGTTGTTCTGTGAAAAATAAGTGCTCGAAAAAGTTTTTTTAACCTGGCCGAAAAGGTGGAATAACACAAGATTACAACATGTCATCCGCAAAGTGAGCATAAAAATACGTTATATAGTTGTTCTATTACAAAATACTAAGATATAGTTTCATTGATAGATATAGTTTGGCTATATCATACCATAATAGATTAATACCGCATGTCGTCAGGGTTGGGCCACTTTTGTAGTCAGGCTTGGGCCATCAAAATTTGTACATTTTATTCGTGTATTTTCGATTTTTGTTGTAATATTTAAGTTTTTTGTAGCAAAAATATGCAAAATAAATTAAATAGATTTCCTTAAAAAAAAAATTTTGATGGATTGAAATAAGATGAATCATTTTTATCTTTTTCTTTAGTGTTTCTCGCTACAAACGAAAAACCACTCTGAATAATTTGATATTTACTGTAAAATCCCAGATAATTAAATAAATGAACAAAATAATGTCGGATTAACCTGAGTTCAATTTTATTCCACCACGTTACGATATTGTCAACGATTTTCTGAAGGTGGCCCAACCCTGACTACATGGCCCAATGCTGACTACATTTTTTTTTTTTTTTTCAAACGCCTATAACTTTTTTTGTTTTTGTTTTTTTATTCTCTATTTTTGGTGAACACTTTCTCTTGCTTGTACCTTTCCAAAAATGTATAAACTTATTCTGAATTGTCATTCGTTCAGAACTTATGGACATAGGTCAAAAAATGGCCCTACCCTGACAACACTCCCCTATATATTACATTAAACTTTATCTCTCAGAAAAATCAACTTCCATCCATAATTTCGACGACTTTTACACCATCGTTATTATCAGAATCATCACCGCAAATTTTTACAACTGATACAATTGGTTTATGATAACTGAAGTAAGAAACAAACAGTTTTGATTCGAACCTATTTAAGTGTAAGTACAAGGTAGTCTCGTCGGCTTTTTTTCCCCCTATTGGGCACTACAATGAGTGCGAGTGAGAGGGTGTTTTCCCGGAAGTGCGAAAGAAACAGAAGAAGATTGTAACGGCCCGAATTGGCCGTACAATTTTTTCACTTATTCTAAGTTTCCCACCCTAATTTTGTTTAATAAATATGGCTAGAATTAAGCTAAACACAAGAGCATCACTAAGCGGGTGAGCCGAAGTTCTAAACGCATCCAGGGAGAGTACGACGGCATGGAGAACGCGAGAACGTGAACTTGACCTAGAAAACGACAGAACGAGAGAACAACCAAAATCTAAGCTACGACGCAATTGCGTGGACCAACGCAGGCACCGAGCAGAGGCCAGCGCAAGCATCGATCCCCGAGCAGAGGGCGACAGAGCGCACTCACACTACGAAAATGCAGGCCCCGCTTGGGCGAGCATAGGGCGGCCAAGCGGGAGAGAGTGGATACAAAGTAGTTACGACGCATTAGACTATGCAAAGCGCCGATCATGCGGGCAGAGGACTGCGGCAGAGGACTGCGGCAGAACGCATTAGTTTTGGCTGCTGATGAGTTTTGGCGAGGGCAATAGATCAATTATCTTCGAGGCCCGGTTTGAACAGGACGCATTTTTCGGCACCCGCTCGACGCGGCTCTGCGCAACGCCTCGCAAATAGAAACCACGTGGCAAGTCAGCCCAAGTATCGGGAGTGAGAATCATCTTCGAGGACCAGTCGCGGACACACGCATCTCTCGGCACCCGTTCGACACGGCTCTGCGACCCACGTGCCATCGCAAGTACCTCGCGCAAGTGAACCGAGTCCCGAACCGACACCGCGCCTCGCACACCTCGGGCACCGCGACCCCGCCGCGACTATCCACCGCACCGTGGGACAGGCTCCGCGTCGCCATCTTGTTTTCCACCGCCATCGACCGAGGCCCCGCTCCAACATCGCCGAGGACTCCGACGAATCTCCGCCCCGAGTTTGATAATAAATCTGTCTGAGTGAGTAGTGCTAAAACACACAGGAGTGCGGTATAGGCAGGGACCATTTTTATCATTAAAATAAAACACGTGTATATGAAATTGAAACACCCTCGCTTGCATATTAATTCCCGTGCCCAGTAGTTAGAGCCGGCAGCCATTTCCCGATTTCAGGGCCCCGTCCGCTCCTTCCCTTTCCCCACGTGGAACCCGGTGACTGCAGCCAGGCGCACAGCCTCTGCTCCCGCTTGCGTGCCACGCCCCTTTTCCTGCCCCACGTGGAACCCGGTGATCGCAGCCAGGCGTACAGCCTCTGCTCCCGCTTGCGTGCCACGCCCCTTCCCCTGCCCCACGTGGAACCCGGTGACCGCAGCCAGGCGCACAGCCTCTGCTCCCGCTTGCGTGCCACGCCCCGTCCCTGCGAGTACCCCGGCGACCGCAGCCCGGCGTCCTGCCGCTGCTCCCGCGTGTGTGCCGCTTCCGGCGATCGCAGCCAGGCGCCCAGCCTCTGTGCCCGAGAGCGCATCGCTACCCATTATCCTGGCAACTGCTACCGGCGACCAGCCTCAGTTGTTCTCCATATTTTCCCGCCTTTGCCATCCACACTACCGTGAGTCCGACTCCTCCATCTCCGTCGGCTCACCCTCTATCAAAATTTCCGATAGTCCCGCAGATATAAATTTTCTGTAAGCGATCCTGGACAGACTGAGTCATATCCCAGCCAGGAAACTACTTTACAGATGGCGCCCGAACAGGGACTAGGGAATAGGATCTTTAGAGGATTACATCCTTCGTGACTTAAAACGTCACCAGTGTCTTAGTGCAAAGGGAAAATTTTGGTGAACCTCAAGCCAGATCATAGAAACAGGGAAAATCATTGCTCCGAGAACAAAAATACAATCATCGCATCGCCAGACGAAATAAAAATTCTTGGTTCATCGGGGAAAAACTATTTACCGGAAAAAAAAATATATGTATATCATCGCCGAGTCCAGACAGAAAATCCTTAACCATCGAGGAAAATCTTAGCATAGGGACAAATTATAATCGACGAGGAGAATT